AAAAAACCCTCCCCACCTCCGAAAATAGACCCTAGTTGCAATTTCAATACAATTTAACTAATAACTAATAGATAGCCAAATAGGTGATTATCATCGAAATTATTATAATTATATTCATTTATAAACACTGAATTGAAAAAAAATATTTTTATTATTGAGAACTAATAAAAAATCACGTAATCTACTAAAAAATATATTCAAAAACTATTTAGAATAATTTTTTAAGTATTCGGAATATGTACTTTTAAAAAGTATTTTACCCAAGTCTATGTACAKKTTTAATTCATTAAATAATAAATACGTACAGTTCCTTTAAAGAGTGATCACATAGCGTATTCCATGACGATTCTTGGAATGGTTGAAAACGGATACACTGAAAACTCGTGTCATTATACAAACCCGATTCGCAGCTATCCTGGTAAGTGTAACTGTCTTCACTGCAAACTGATCTTGCCGATGGTGACACGTGAGTTATGGGTTTTTTACCGCAATTTTCTAAGCATAACGTGAACATAAGTTGCGAACGTCGTATGTACCTTGTTTCTTATTTTGATATCCGAGTCAAATGACTACAGATAATGTCTAGATCATAATATTATTGTTTGGATATTTACCAATTTCTTTTTTAACGCGAACATTGCTGCCACCGGTGCTTACTCCAATAATGTCAGCACTAAGTTTTCGTTTCTTTTCCGTCACATTTACATTTAACAGGTCAGTATATTCAGGTTCTGCTATTTCGATTTCCCTCGCGTTAGGTGGAATTTGATTAAAATCTGAAACCGTCAACAACGACAAACGGGGGTTTTGTAACAAAAACGTAAATACTTATTTCTTATTCGGCCACATTAGGYAAGGCATCATAAAATTAACTCAGATTGAAAACCTTCAATTTCCAGTTATATTATAATTCAGTGGTACGAACCTAAGTGTGTGACGTGAGACGACGACCCCGGTTGATTTATCAACAAAGGTTGAACGGACAACGGGTGTGGGATTTTAGTAGTTACGGGTTGTTTCTGATACAACGCAGTGGTTCCGGAGTTCATTGATATTTGACCCTTGTTGGCTGATATGAGACATTGCAAATTCGGCGTTCTTCGATCTAGAAATCAAATACAAYACGACAATGCAACAGTTTTTGGCAACAAATACGTCCGATGGTAAGCAAATGAAATGAAATAAAACTGTCTTACGCGGAGATTGACCAACGCCATCAGCTGGTGAATATGGTGGCTCGGAGTCTGGTGGACTTTCTGGTAAGTTGTGTCTACGTAAATAAATAAAGAAAAGAACAATGCATTTTTGTAATTGTGAAGAAAAACTGAACAAACCTGTTGGTGTAATTGTGAGACTTATCCTTGATYGGCTTACTGGGCAAACCGGCATTAGACAAAACAGTATTACTGTGAAACGACAAGTCAGCGATCGGCGGTATCGATGCGTTTTTCAAGAAAAGCTGGGGTGGTTCTTGTTGGTATGGTGTGTTTATTCGAACCATCGCATGATCGTTTTGGTCAAC